TCTTTATTATATAAAAAAATATATGTAAAAAAATATAATAATATAATAAAATATATATAAATTAAATTTTTTAAAAAATTTTTTTTATATTCTATATGCACATTTATTATAATATTTATAATATATAATAATATATAATATATAAAAATTAATAAATTTATCTATTGACTTTTTTCTTCATTTTCTTTTGCTCTTATTTCTCTTCTCACTTCTTCTATATCTCTTATTCTTGCTTCTCTTCTTATTACTTCTTCTATTTCTCTCGTTTCTTTTTCATCCATATTTGATATAGTTGAGTCACTTTCTGACTCATCTTCATTAGAATCTGACTCTCTCAAATCAAATTTTTTGACATTTTCCATTTTTTTCTACTAATATAAATTTTTTTTTTAATATTTTAAAAAATTAAAAAATTAAAAAAATCTGAATATTTTTAATACTTACTAGATTTCTTTTGAATCTCTTATATAAATATTACTATTATTTTTAATATCTTTTTATTGGGGTTTAAAAAACTTTTGCATAATGTTACAACGAAAGCTACTTGTTTATTAGAAACTTTCGAGGTGTCCTTCCACACTTCGTTAATTATTTTCCCACACCAGGTTTCATCTTTATTATTTGTTATTTTTGAATGTAACTTTTCGTAACATTCTTTAACAATCGGTAACTTTTTCCAAGCTTTTATCTTATTTGGAATTGCTTTCAAATTTATTTTCAGAAGACTCCTAAATACAAAAAATATAGAATATCTTTCTGGACCAATGCTTTTCTTTTAACTTTAAAATAATTCAAAATCTTTTATTAATTGTTGAGATATCTAGATTATAATATATTCAGTAAAACTTACTTTTCTTTTAAGAATTAAATCATAATAAAACATCCAGTAACTATTTTTCCAGCTTTCAAAAGCTCTGAGTATTTTTTTATTAAGTAACTTGCCACAGTTACTTTAAGAGTATCATCATTCAGATATATGTTTTCAATTGACTTGCTTACAATTTCTTCAATAATTTTTTTTTATAAAAATAAATAAATAAAATAAAATAAAATATTTACTTTAATAAATGTTGAATTATACATATCATCACTTTCTTTCATCATTTTGCTTCTCTCCATCATTTTTTGAATGTCTGAAACTTACTTTTGAAGGTCTTCAACTTCCTTGTTAATTTTTTTTAAATAATCTAATATGCGATCTTGCTTTCTTTTTCTTGTTGACAGAGGTTCTTCTTCTAATAAAATAAATTATATATTGTACAATATTTTTATTAAAATTTTTTAAAATTTTTTGAAAATTACCATCGGAATATTGTTCTTCCCTTCCTTCTTCAATCCTTCTTCTTTTAGTTATGCGAGTTAGTGGTAATTCCCGTGATTCTTTATCAAATGGTCCTATTAATACATCCTCCATTTCACTTTTCCCCCTTTCTCTTATTAATGATGTTGATGCTTCTGCTACTGCCGAAGTAGATGCTGTTGCCGGAGTAGATGCTGTTG